AAAAAAAAGCTTAAAACCCACTTTTTTAATTTAGCTTTTAATCCTGACTATAATACTGTCTCTTTCTGTGTGCTCCTTTCTATGCACCTCTGGAAGGCTTTTAATGTCCTGCAGCGCTGCACCACTACAGCACTTTTAATTGTATATTGTATGTTTTTATATGTGTTATGTATTGTTTTTATGGCTTAGTTGTAAAGCACTTTGGGTACCATTTGGCTATTGTAAAGGGCTATACAAATAAATTTGATTTGATTTAGACTGACGGACCGTCCAAAGCTAAATGTGTTCCAGCAGTGGAGCTCAACCCACTGCTCTGTTTAGCTTCTACCGTTAGTTTAATCTAACCTCAAACAATACGTTCAGAAAGAAGAGCTCCTAAAGCCTCCATCAGGTCTGTCTGTGGATAGTCTGGACATGAACACAGATCCACGTTTTGTGTTGCAGCCTGGAGAGTTGATCATCTACTACGAGCTGGAGGACGGAGAGAGGAGCAGCTCCAGGGGGATTGTGGAGGTCTGTCCTGAGACCCACAGGTCAGGATGGTTCTACAGAGACGCTTCTACAGATTCCAGTTCTGCTTTTAACCCATTCCTCTCTGAACCAGGATAACTCGCTTCCTGGAGAAACCAGAGGAAGGGCGAACGGCGTCCCGGCTGGCCAGCGTGGTTTTCTACTGCATCCGGAAAGAAACGCTGGCCTACATGCCCGAGTACCTCAGGCTGCAGCCCGGGGCCGCAGAGAGGACCTTCGGACTGTTCTGGGTTGGTTCTTGTTCATCCACGGTTCTGTTATTACTTCCTGTTTAAAGGTGCAGCTTTGGGATCTCAGCTGTTAGAAACCGCGGCCATGTTTTTCTCTCACACCCTCAGCCAAGTCAAATCATCTTTGAAGAACGTTGGCCACCTTAGAAATGTCTTCAGCTTTTGCTTTTTGTCCCTTTTGAATATTTTAGATCAAACTTTATTATCAGACCGTTTTTAAACCATGATTTCAGTTTTTAAGGAGAAAAGCTTCCCAAACTTTCTCTGTTTAAAAAAGCCATGGCCCTGTTCTTACAGCAGGAATGTTTTCTGGTGACCAATTTAAACCTGGTTCTCCTCACTCAGCACGAAGTAGGCCAGCAGATTAAAAAAGTCCCACATTGTGCCGACTTCTAAGGAGACCAGAGGCTGATGGGAAACGGTAACCTTCCCAGTCGCTCCACCAGGAGGCCGTCGAGAAGCCAGAACCGAATCCACTGCAGAACTCGCTGCACTGTGGGTCAAACAAACTAAACCGCTGCCGACCCAAAAGAACTTCAAGGTCACTTTTCCAACCAAGCATCTAAATAATCCCCCAAAACGTCTGTGATAAAACTGTTGAAGGAAAAGTCCGGTCAGAAAGGAAAGATCAATGGATCATTATTTATACCTAAAACTAATACGTGTGCGGTGATTTAATGGATTTAGCGTTAATCAGTGAAAAAATAAAAATAATCATTTTCGTCGCAATTACCGAGTCTGGGAGCGGCCATTTTTGCCCATATATAGTAGCCCCTCCCTCCTGCCATCTTCCAGCAG